GATTTCTTTCTTGACACTCACTGCTAGACCACAATTTGGACCACCTGGTTTTCTTTCTCCCTTCAAGTATCCCATCAGGCTTCTGCTTTTGTAGGAACTCAAGACCTTTTTTTGTTGTGGCAGAGAACAACAGAGTTTCAAATGGCTAAGATGAAACATGAAAGTCTTCTAAAAATTCAAAGTGTCACTTTTTCTTCTCCACTTTAATGCTGGACCCTGCTCTTGATGTAAAGAAAATAGGCCATTCCTCTTTGCTGGAGGTTTCAGGGATCTTGCAGCAGAGTCCCTGGGGTTTTGTTGTGGTAAAGCAAAATGCATTTACTGCCAGAGGGCAATAGAATTAAGAAAAAAAGTCAATGGTAAATAATGACAACTATTTATCTTATTTGAGGCCTACAAAGCAACTAAAACTGAGATTGTCTTCAAATAGACACAAAATAGAATTTGTGCAATAAAGCTCCCAAATCAACCTAAAATCTCTTCCTAGCTGGAACAGCAAGAATCTGGAATTCACTTGGTTATGAGGCAAAATATACCAGATTTAGAACTGCGCAACTCCGTCCCAAAAATGGGTCAAACTATGGAAAGCTGTTAGGAACATGACTTAATACAAGGATTTAAAACCTATGCATGTGTTTAACCACATTGCAAAATTGTCAGAAATCAGGAGCTTTCCCTGTTTTAGTTGCTAGGTGCTGAAAACTCTGGAGTATCTGCAATGGCAGATAGTGAATAAAACAATTTTCTTGAATTGATGCCTGAAACTACTAAGTCTGTGAGCACTCCCAGGAAAGCGATCCAAGGATTGATTTGAGAATCAGCACATCATGAGACCCTCTGGGAGCCTTCCTTCAGTCCTTCGTAGATTGTAAGGCTCCGGGCAGCTGAATGTAAGTCATTAAAGCTCCTAATTCTATCCATTAGTACACTCATTAATATTTCTCAGTAACTTGGGATACAACATTTCTCATGATAAGCTTGGAAAAGTTTTCTCTTCCATCTAATTTTAACCTAGAGACAGCTGTAAGGAAGAAAAGCTCACCACTGAGTAGAAGAAAAACTTATTTGTAAAATTTATGTTTGCAGAATCTGTCCTTCTGGGCAAAGCAGTTAGGAGCATTTTACTTTAGAGATTAAAATCTTTCATGAAGTTGTTGAATGTAGGGATATTTAACTTTTGTCATTGGGCTCAGTGTTCCAGCCTGGAGCATATTGAACTGCTAACAATAAACCAATGAACTTTTCACAGCAGGTCCCATAAGGAAAAACAAAAAAAATGCAGAGAAAAACTTCTGGGATCTTAGGAACTGGATAAACATGCTGGTAAATTGTTCCTATGCTCCAGAGATGGATGCCATTAGGAGACAACCATCTTGAATAATTGCTTTTGAGTAGAAAAATAGAATTTTTCTAGAATAGAATGTCTGTAATGGGAAGAGACCTCCTGAGATCTTCTTATCCACAACCCTACTCAAGCAGGTCTACTTAGAACCAGTTGCACAGGACGATGTCCAGGTGACTTTTCAGCAGGATCTGTTTTCTCCCATTACATGTATATTCAAGAACACATAGGCATATTTATATATTTTTAAAACTTATATGAATAGAATTTATATATGCACATTTATATATTTATGTATAGATAAACCCTCATATGTGTATATATGACCATGTATTTTAACAGCAACATTTGGGTGATCAGCAGGAATTTGATGATTTGCATTTTCAGAGATATTCTGTACACTTGAGGGAAAAGCCCTGAACTGTTTGACTCCACTGAGAAAAAAGAAAACCTTCAGTGCTAACCCAGAAGTGTTAACTGCTGGCTGGATATGGTGACATTGTTACTGTTCTAATGCAAATAAATAGTGAGCAACAGGTCCTCATTGCTTGCCATGCTGTCTTTTAGCCCTGAGTTCAGATGCTAAACGTTTGCATTTTCATTTTGGCCATACATGAGAAGACTCACTAAGCATACATATATTGATATATATATATATATATATATATATTTTTATTTTTAAATAATAATGTTCATTCATTCTTAGGAGGAATTTATGGGAGTAAAGAAGTAGAGGCAGTAGGCTTAAGAGACTTGGAGGCCTGTAGGAGGTACCCTGTGCTGCCAAAGTCAATATTCCTTTTATACACAAAACAAGGAGTCCTCAGGCTCCAAGAACAAGTAGAAGAACTTTATGCAGGTTTTTGCTTTAGCTTCTCATATGGGATGTAGAATTTTGGTTCTTGTGTGCACAGCAACATTCAAGTAATTTGGCTTTCTCTTCAGTGTTCTTTACCAGCCTGGATACTTCTGGCACACCCCTGCTGATGTTGGTTATTTCTCCTCTCTCTAATTCCCTAGTTATGCTAACAGTCATTGAAAGCCCAGTAAACCTTTCTGGGCAAAGTCTGGATGGGGCAAGCCCAGAGCAGTGCTGGAGTGTATCAGCTGAGTAGAGCCATCCAGTCAAAGACAGAACAATACAGTCAGAGGGAAGGGGTAGAGATGGCCCATGGAGAGACAGTCTAGCCTGGAGAGAGCGCACTGAACACCATGTATTTTGAGCTTTTCTGCTTGGAGGACTCTCTTGGGGTATTTTTGGTGCCCTGTGGCTGTGGAGGATTTCTCAGCTGAAGATATGTTGCCTAGAAAGAGCTGATGTGGACAAATCTGGTACCTTCACTGCCAGTTCAGATGTTTTGGCTGCAGCAGCATTTACTCCTGCACACAGCAGCACTGGGATGTGAGCAGAACCTCTTCTCCTTGATTCACCCTTCCTGCTGCATTCACTCCCAGCCTTCCAGTCCTGGCAAGGGAGTGCTCACCAAGTGAGGCTCACCAACATAGCTGGCTGACAGAGAGGCTTTGGACAATGCTGACAGGCCAGAGCAGCAACTTTCCTGGCATTCCAAGACAAAGTCCCCCTATGGATTCAATGAGACTCCTGGCACAAGCAAAACTCAGAGGATTAAAAGACATATCTTCTATCTCTGCCTCCTTGCACTCATGTTCCTCCAACACTGCAGGCACCTTTCTGCCTCAGCTCAGAACTCCTTGTTCTGCTGGGACTTCTGCATAGCTGAAGACTTCAAAGCCTTTGCTTAATTTGTGTTTGCACTTCCAAGTACTGAATGAGGTTGTAAGGCAAAGGTAGGTTCCTTCTAAGCATTTGTGTGTAAACATGAAAGTTAGAGCCTTCTGCTCCTTGCTCCTTTCATCTTTTCAGGCTCACAGATAAAATGCAGTAGGGTTTTTGAACCTTACAGAAAGTTTTAATAAAAGAGTGACTCAGATGTTCTGTTGAGCTCCTCTTCTCTTTCACTATTCCTTTTGTTTTGGCTTTTTCTCCCCTTTCGTTTTTCTTCTGCTTCCTGTCTCTTTCTCCCATCCAATTCTTTTCAGCACAAGTTTCAGACAGTTTTGGTGGACATCTTTCTGAAGTTTTGTTTTGTGGGGCATCAGGGCTCTGCACCTGGGGACCTCATTTATTACAGCCTCCAAATCTGTCCACTAGCCAGTTCCTGTCATCTTGGATGAAGGTGAAAATTTGTGGAAAAGGGATTATTTCAGTATTGTGTTTCTAGTTTACCTCCAGGTTGCCATGGGGAGAAGTACTAAGGATGTCTCTCCAGTGACAACAGAGAGAGCACAGAAGATTAAAACCCCCAATTTTCAGATTCTTCTCACTCCCCCCTCCTATATTTAGGAGGGGTTTCAAGCTCAAGAAATATTTCAACAAAAAGGTGAAAACTGGAACAGGATTGACAATGATCTATCTCAAAGGGAGATTCCTTTGAATGCTGCCATATCATCCAGCAACAAAGAAAAACTTCTGCTCTCTCAGGTTCTCAGCAGCTTCCCAGCTGCCTTGTCTGTAACTTTGCAGGCAGTTTGGTCTATTTACTCTAAGTTTAATTTCTTACATTGACAACAACTGGAAAGCAGCTTTAGCATATAAAACAGCAGCAGTTATTTTAACTGTTGGTACGCACAGGTCTAGGTTACAATGCCTGGGTAATTGTAACAAAGATATTAATATCAACATTAGAGGTAGGATCAAGGAGTCCTGAGACATTTTGTGTTTCACCCACTGAATCAAAGATTTAGAGCAGCTGCAAATATTCAGGTCAGTGACATGTGATATTTATTTTGCTGAGCTTTCTGTTAGTCCCAATTTTCTTTTAATCTTCTGACCAATATCTGAGCAATGAATACCCTAGTTACAAATATCTTCTTTTAGATATTCAGGCATCAGGACTTCTGTGAGTGAATCACTCCAGTGACTTTCAGGATGAACCCCATAGGCACATAGCTCCTCTTGGAAGTTTTAATTATTTGCTTGACTTGACTTTTGTGCCAGCTGTAATCTGATAATTTAACTCATAATAATATGTACTGGTGCAGCTGTTTATCTTTCAGTACTTACTCTATGAAGTATTGTCAGAGATTTGCTGCTTCAAAGGTTATAAAGAGCTTAGGTCCTTGAGGTATCCTTTTATATGTTTTTATGTAATGTTGAGAGCAGTAGCTATAATTTAACCATTCTGTGCCTGAAACACTTCTTGCTGAACTATCACAATGGCTTCAGTGGCTTGTATGTGGAGACAAAAATAGCCTAATATCCTGCAAAGTGATTAGCTCTTCTATGTGCCTGCCAATGTGACATTCACCCACAGATATCTGAACAGTTTCCTGAGACTCAGATACTGGCCCCGCTGATTAGACTGGGCCAGGATGTTAGGTGAAATATGCAGCTATTTTTTAAATAGTGTTTCAATGAGGATTTTCCTTGTTCAGATTGTATCCACTGCCTTGGCATAAAAGGGCAATGCAAGGCTCCTTTTGAGGTCCACAAAGAATTCCTTAAAATTATGGTCAGATAGTTGCAAGCAATGAAATCATCATCTCTCAGGTGAGAGGATGCAATTTTCTGATACCTTTGTGCCAACCATTTCCAGAAAAGATTGCTTAAGATAATCCATTTTGTATTGCATTGCAGGTTGCTGGAAGCCCAGCAGCTTTCAGTTTTTGTGGTTCAGCTAAAGGTAGGTAAATTCTTTAAATATGTATTAGTAGCAATATACATTAATATTAAAAATCATTGTTGATTTCTTGGGGACCTGTGACTGTACCTTTGCTAATGAGGGATAGAGAAACCTTAGAAATCTGAGTTTGTTGCTGAAAGAAATGCACTTTGTATGCTTTTTTTTCCATTCATTTTTTCATTTCTCTTGTTGCACTTTGCAGAAAATCTTTTCAGAGGTCTCTGGGGGATGGTACAGGGAGGATCTGTAAACCTGCAGGACAATGTGATCTGTATCTGAAGAACTCCCCCTTCTCATGAAGCTCACATCCTCCCCAGCCTCACTTGGCATCTGAACAGCAGCCACCCACATGTGGCACATTAAGGGATTAAGGCTTTAATGACAATTTTAAAATGCTGTTATTAAATGGGGACTTCCATCCTGTAGAACACTTGAAAAATAACATTTGTAAAGCTGCTTCCTGAGCAGTATATCCCCTTTTCCATTATCTCATCTATTTGTATGCTAATAACAATTCTTCTGCCTTTCTACTCTGTCTCTGCTTGAGCAGTTCAATGCTGAATTCATGATTCTGTGTTTTGTGCTGTGAAGATTTCACTTATATTTAAAAAAAATGGTATCTCAATAATTAATTACAGATAAATTATTGAGAAAGCAGCAGCAGGTGCAAAGGAAGAGTGGTCTGTATCCAACGCAGACTTTAAAATCAGATATCTTTGAAATATCCCATATATACACACACACACACGCACATATATATATATATTTTTTTTTTTTTTTCATGTTCAGTTATCAGAATGCTTTCCTAGCATTTTATGTTTCATGTGATACCATAGACTGCTGACAAAAAATAAGCTTTTTCTATCATATTATGTCCATAATGAATATTTGAAACAAGTGTCTCCCAAGAGAAAAATATACCAGTGTATCTAGACTATGCTTCAGTGAAGAAATTCCTGCATATTGAGGAAGAACAGCTCTGCTATCAGAGAAACTAAGTGAAGAGTTGACATATAATTTGAAATTTTCTGTTTATTTGAAATGTTTATATAATCACAATATTTAGGTATATTAGTAACAGCCCTGGACTTACTGAAGCATCACTGCCTGCTGAAAAAATGTTTAACCAACATTTTCAGTATCTTTTCTGATGCAGACAGGACTCTCACTGTTCTTGTGCATCTCTAAATCTCAGTAAGAGTTTGGATACCCTGTTTTAAGCTGAGATAATTAAGTTATATTAAATTCCCTGCTACTCACTGGCTCAAGGAGTGGTTTGGGCTGGAACAGACCTCTGGAGGTTGTCCAGCCAAATCTCCATCCCAAAACAAGGACAACTCCAAAGGGAGGTTGGTTGCTCAGGGCTTTGAGCTGAGCATGGAGAGTCCACAAACTCACTGGCCCTGTGTTTCAGTGGTTATTGCCACTCACAGAGAAGATTTATTTCTTTATGTCCTTGTACTCTTTCTCCCTCATTCTGTCATTGTCATTCTTCAAGAGGAGCCTCGCTTGTTTTTTATAAAATCCTTTCAGGTAGTAGAAGACAGCAACAAGTTCCTCCTGAAGCTTCTCCCTGCCAGGCTGAGCATCCCCTGTGCTTTCCTCCTCTTGTCACACAGCCTGTGCTCAGCCCCAGCCTGACATCCTCCAGCTGGGCCCTCCCCAGGACGTCAGAAAACGTGGTGCTCCTTGTGTGTGCACACACAGTGGGGACTGGGGGCTGCTACTGCAGCTCAAGTGACACACCAGGTATGTCTGAGCTCGAGCAGTGCTGGCCACATCCAGACACCTATGTTATTTCCTGATATATTCACCTCTTTTATTTCCTGATCTCCAAATAAGTCTGTGTTGGTAATATCTGTTGTCTGCTCCTTCACATCTCTGCAGAGAACTGGCTTTGAAGGACTAATGGTGCAGGGAGAGTCTTCCTCTTTAATATTTTACGATATTTTAGATGTTAGACCATGAAAGTAATTTCAGGGCCTAGTTCATCACAGTTTCTCTCCCCCAGAAAATCCATCTTCAGAGAGCTGCTCCAAGGCACAGGGATGCCAAAAAGAGTATTTCCATTGACGTTTGTCCTCCTTGCTTTCTATTCTAAAGAAAATCCAATTTTCAACTAAGCTTTCAACCACATTTGTCATAAAACATGGGCCAATTTCACTTCTTAGTTACTTCAAGGAGAGATGATGCCAAGGCTGAGCTTCTGTTTTCGTGAAGAACAACAGAAAAACCAGGCTCCTTGTCAGCAACACAAAAAGCTCTGTATGGGGAAATGAGCTGTCCTTGGAATGGCACAACTGATATTTTAGCCTCAGGATCCTTTTCTAAAGGTCACAGCACAATTTTAAGCCCAGAATATTGCAATGCATTTAAATATCTAAGATCGAGGTTAAACAAGATCTACTAATGTAAAACAGAAATGAAGAAATCACATCTACCTTTTTCATGACAGAATTGACTCATTCTGGGAATAAACAATTGGAAGCAGTGGAAAAATAAAACTGGCCTGTCCATGCCATGATCTTGGCTTTCAGACCTTCTTCCTCACTGCACAGCGGGAAGATGATAGGTGAGGTGGCTGGCTTAGTGGATGAGAGGAGAGAAGTGGATGTTGGTTATCTTAATTTTAGGGAGTGACTTTCAACACTGTTTTTCATTAGGTCCTCAGATACAATCTGATGAAGTAGGGAAATGATAAATGGAAATGACATGGGGTGAAACGGGCTCTGCTTAGAGAGAAATTCAGAGCAAGGCTTTACTGTAGCTGAGAGTTTCTGTTTATAGCACAAAATGATGATGGGCTCATCATCATTTAATTGTTAATTATTCTACAGCAAATTGTATGCTTTTGTACAAACATTTTTATCCTAGGAAGAATATTTTTGTTGAAGTATTTGAACCTTCAAAACATTCCAGTCAATTTAGCTGTAAGATGGTAAACCCTGCAAAGCACTCTTGTCCTTACTAAAGGATCAATGAAATTGAAACTATCTCAGTATGCAAGTATTGACTTTTATTCCTAGCACTGATTTAAACTGTAAAGGCCTATTAAACTAGAGATCAAAGCATCTATCAAAGAGTTCACTTAGCTCTTTAAATAAAAACATACAGTATTTAGAAGATAATACAAGGAAAGTGATAGAAAATACAGGTCTACAATTAGTGATGGAAGCTTAATAGGTGTTCAGTGTGCTAAATCTTGCCAAAGGGAAAGTGGCTTAGACTTTGATTTGAAAGAGAATAGCATGAAAGACAAAATTTTTTTGCACTTTTGCAAAGTAGAAGATGAAAAACTGAGTTCCACGAGAAGTTTGAATCAGTATTGAATGCAAAATCTGGGTGTGAGTCCTAATCTGATATCTTCATCATAAAAAAGTCCTTCCTTGTGCTGTACAGAGATGGGGATAAAATATTCCAAATAATCCCTTGACTGTGCACTTGAATTAAGCAGCATAAGGGAGGGGACACCACTGTGCAAGCAGCCGTAGGGTGGCATGAAGGTAGATGGTGTCTGGGATGAGACAGGGCTAAAAGAAGAGAAGCAGCATTATGTTTTTTCCATTACAGTCAGTCACTAAAAGCAGGAATACACACATAAACTGAAGATTTTTTTTGTTTTCAACTGGCACAGAGAAGTCATATCAGCAGCCACACAATTAAAGCAACCTGGCTTCTCTCATGCACAGGGAGCAATTGTTCCTTTTCTTGCAGAAGGAAATGCACTCACGTGTGCACACACACACACTTAAAAATGTTTTAAAAATGTTATATTTGACTTCCTGGCTAGTTTGGAAATTCTCTTCAAAAATAGCTCTCATGATTGCAGGCTGGCAGAGCTGTTCCTGCCTGGATTTAAATGGGAAAACTCAATTAGAGTTTGAATCTGTTGCACTGAAATGGAATTGTCTCTTGCAGGCAGAGCTCAGTCACGGACGCAGCAGCATGAATGAGAGGAGAGGGAGAGAAGGAGGTTGTGCCATTGTGGAGGGCAGGTTCTGGGGGCTTTGAGCTGGAATGTTCCCTGTCCCGTCACTCTGGAAAGGAAACCTCATTGCACTTCTCCAAACATGTTCAAGGAAAAGTAGCTTCAATCAGGCTTTTTCCTGGAAAGGGCCCTGCTGGTCTGGGGGTGGCAGGGACTGGGCACTGAGTAGCTCACAGGCAGAGCAGTGACTTGTTCCATGAAGATTTTCACTTTTTACCTCCTTTTACTTTACCTCTCTGGCTTTGAACAAATATTCACCCCTCCTCAGGCTCTTTCCATCAGGTTTAAGGATGTTATTTGTATTTCTGTAGTCTAGAAATATTTGTGAGGATCTTGGGAAGGCTGAAGCTTAGGCACAGGAAAATTGGACTTTTGGTGGCAGGTTCACCACAGAGTCCTCCTCTCTCACCTTGTCTCTGCCTGTGTTCCATTGCAGTCCCACATCTCTTCTTGTGGTTTCCACAGCAGCTTTCAAGCTGTGAGGGTAAACCCTTCATACTGCCTCTGCTCCTGAGAGCCCTGAGCTGGCCTCAATATTTTTTTCATCATTGTGCATTGAGATCTATGTCTAGAAATGACCTGCTCCTCCTTGCTTCTCTTATCTGGGATCTCAGCCTGAGCCTCAGTTTCCTCTTGTCATCTGTGTTAAACTACTCCTCATAAAGCAGCTTTCAGCATGACTTCTTTCATCTGTGGGCCTGTGTTTGTGTGTGAGAGGGAGAAAACAGTTCATTTGTATCAGAGCAGCTGGCTCCTCTGATCTGCCACCTGGAGACTTGGCTGACAGGGAATGTGTGTCTGCAGGCAGGGCAGACCTGTGCTCCTCCAGCTGTGCCATCTCTGCTGTCACCCTCCTGGCACGGGCAAACACCCCTTTCCCCACTCCTTTGGGACCTGCTGGACGCATTTACTGGATATTATGGGTTGGGAAGAAGATGCAGAGCTCCCAGCAGTGCATGGGCTCGGGGGATCCTTTTGTAAAACCTGCAGTGAAGAGATTCAAGTGTGTTCATTGAAGCAGGTGAGGAAAAGGCTTGTTCATGTGTGGGAGGGGATGGTGGGCAGGCAGGGCTCAGTCCAGCTCTGATTCCCTGCCCTCTGTTGACACTGCCATCCTGTGCTACAGACACCCAGCTGGAGATGTCCATGTGGGCTGTACTGCCCTTTGTCCAGGGGAGCAGGGTAACATTAATTAAACGTTTTGTTGTTGTCCTTGGAGAACCTGTTGCAGAACAAGTGTTTATGTCTTTCTTTGGGCATGTTGTGCAGGTGAGAGCAGATGGAGATGGAGTTTTGACAGCCACACACTCAGAGGAGCCTCAGGTAAGGGTAAGTGCCCTGCACTGATGTAGTTATGGCCTGTCCATTCTTGAAACAAATGCTGCTTAATGCTGTAAAACTCCTCAGTGCAGGCTCCTGCTGCTCTTGCCTGCATGAATGGATGCACCTGCATGCTCCAAACTGAGGTGGTGTTACACATGCTCAGGTTACCCTGTCCTTGACATGGGGCAGCCCAGGGATGTTTATTAAACTGTGACAGTTACTGTAATAGCACTCTCCACCCTTTGAAGAGATCATGGACTTTTGGTTTCTACCTGATTTGGCTTTTGTTGTTTTTCATTGATTTTTTTCCCATGAATAGGTTGAGATTTTCTTTGGTGTCAATTTCAAAAGAGTAAAAGAGAGAATTTGGAAAAAATGCCATCTATGACTTCTGACGGCTGGAAAAAGCAAGGGCAGATAGCATGGCTCTGTGGTCCAGGGGAATTTTCTGAGGAGGGCATTCCCAGATGCCTGTGGCCCTTTTGCAGGGACAGGGAGGAACCCATCTAAGCTGTGATGGGGCCAGCAGCTACCTGATGTTCCTGGGGCTGAGTAGGACCCTCAGCAAATGTCAGAGCTTGTCAGTGAGAAGGGGAAATTTTTCTCACTGTTCCAAATCCTACAGATTTTTGAGACAAGCAGGGAAATTTTCCAGAAAGCTCTCCTGAGAAAAACTAGCTGAGCTGTGGTGGCAAAAATGGTAAAAATGAAAAACCAGCTCATAGCTCAGGCTGTGGCTCCTGCAGCAGAAGTGGTGGCTGCAGGTCCAGGGAGAAAGCCCAGGATGGATGAGATGGGAACAGGCATCAGGCCCAAGGGGGAACAGCTCTGCTCACGCACTGCAGGCACCATCCACGTGGCCAGCTCTGCCTGCAGCAGGAGCTTTAATGATCTCAGAGGAGAAAGGGCTGAAATGAAACCAAGAGCTTTGCCTGACTGAGCTTCCCTAGAACGAGACTCAGAAGAGGGAACAAGCATTTCCATCAGGGGCTGTCGCACCGCCCCTCACCCAGGGCAGGGCTGGCCCGGCCCTGCTGCCGGCTCCGCTCCGGGGCTGTGCGAGGAGCCTGGGCCCGGCCGGGCCGGGAGCTGAGGGCAGCGGGAGGCGGGAGAAAGGAGGGTCCCTGCCCAGGGAGGGTCCCTGCCCAGCCTGGAGCCGTGGAAAGGAGGTGCCAGCAGCCGGCGGTGACCGCTCAGGAGGAGCGGGTCAGGGGAAATCCATCGCGGAGTGTCCGCGCTGGGCCCGGCTCTGCGCAGCCACAGAGCCCTCTGGTGTTGCCGGCTGGGTTGCAGAGCAGCCCGAAGAGCAGCCTGCTCTCGCCAGACCGAGCACGGTAAAAAAAATGGGTGTCTAAGGTTTATTTGTCCCTGTTTAGAAGTTTTCAGCTCGTGGGTGTTTCTAGAAGGCAAGAATGGCAGGAGTGAAATAATCTCTTGTTAGTCGGAGTAGGCGATGTGTTCTGTACAACTTCTGAAGAGCCGTACACCAGGAGGAGGAATTCACTCTGGAGCTGTTCCAATGTGCTAACCATTATTAATTGATTGATTTTTCAGACAATATTATAGCTTCTTGCAGAAACCAAGCTGCAAGAACTTATTGTTTCATCTGTAAAAAATGTTTTTCTGGCAAAAAAAAAAAAACCAAAAAAACAAAAAAAAACCCCAAAACCCAAAGCAAAACAAACAAAACAAACCCCTCCCAAAACCAAAACACAAATAAAAAAGACCCAAGCCAACAAACCAAACCCAAAAAACTGTTCATTTTTTAAATGTGAAAAATAGATTTTTTTTTTTCTTTAAAGCAAAGCCCAAAACACACCCTTTGGCTGAACTGTCAAATCTCTGAAGCCTTAAAGTTCAGGTAACCTTCCTTTGGACCCAGCTCCCTTCACTGCTCCCTTTAAGGGAAGCCACCTCAGGCACAAGGACTTCGCAGTGGAGGCTAATGAGGTACCGGGAAGCCCTGCTCCAGTGGAGTCCCCAGGGACACAATTCTGTCTTCCCCTGGCAGTCATACATCATTGGACAGGTTCCCAGAAATCACAAGCAGATTAAACATTACAGGATCTTTTCCCTTCCTGGCTCAGGTATGCTTGCCTCTCTAATGGTTGCAGAAGGTATAAAGCCAGAAAGGACTATTAGATCATTTTAATTTGCTCACTGATAGTTTTGTGTAATGTCTTCTATTAACTAGAAATTAATTAAACTAGCAGGCACCCCCAGCGAGGAGAAAATATGTCATCAAGGTTAAGAATGCTTTAAAACAACAGTGGGGGGAAAAAAAGGGATAGAAAGTGATTGTGAAAACATTTTACTGTGCTGCAGAAAAATGCAAATTTGTCCTTCCCTCTGTCAGTACTAAACTGCAATGACTGAACAGGGAGGAAATTATTTCCTGCTTCAGATCCAATGGTCTCCAAACCCCTGATAATACAAAGACTGAACGACTCAATCAGCCAAATACAGTGCAAGGGAGGTCTTGTTTTCAATCACATCCACAAATGGCAAACAGAGCTGTATGTCAGAGTCTTTTCCTGTTTACAATCAGTGGAATAGACTCTTGTATATGTCTAAAATGTTCATGAGTTTGCAAACAGGTGGTGAAGGTTCAGGAAGCTGATGTGTGTTTTGGAATTTCCTATCTTCTGAAATAGTTTTTCTAATAATTCAAGATGCTGTCACATTAAATAAAATTATCCCAATGATGATGCTCTGTATGTGTCAGCTTCTGTTTCAATAATGTAGCCTGAATTTTGGCTGCCTAGGATCAATTTCTGAATAAAAAGTTATTTTTCTTTATATTGATGCCAGCATGATCCTATTTGAATGCAGTGTTGGCAACAGAAATGTAAGAATGAGGATCTGTTGTAGTGCTCCCTTTAGTTTACATTGATTAGTTTACATTAATTTTCACTTCAGCTGTTGCAATATCACCTTACCAAAATATTTGGATTGGGTTTTTTTAAAGATTTTCCCTTCAAAGTTTAATTAAGTTAGTTTATGAAAACATTTTCACTCATTGCAAATTTGGGAAATACTGCATTATTTCAGAACAAAACTCCTGTGTCTCTTTTTTTTTCCCTGTCCTTAGAAAAATGTGTTCATACAAGACTAAGAACTATACAAATTGGAAAAACAATCAAAAGAGCTGAGTATTACAGCATGACTTTTCAGTGACATGTCAAGACAAATGAGGTGCTGCTCAGAGTGTTCTTTGCTATAGTTTTAGTAATGTTTTTTTAGTGGGATCCTTGGCCTGGCCCATGATAAAGAAAGTTATTATGTCATTTGTTTACTGATTCCTTTTCTTATTGTCTTCTTGCAAAGCCACCTCTTCTCCTATCAGCTCTAATTGAATTGACTGCCTATATTAGGTTCTTAGATTCACCATATGCTCTCTGCCTAACAATATTTATTTCAGATTAATGGTAACTGCACCAAGAGCAACTGAATTCAAAGCCTGTAGGAGAGGTCACAGAGCATCTTGTTGTGCCACATGGTGCTGTAGCTCTCCTGAAAGCTACCAGGTGGGTGTTGCAGAAAGTTATATTCTTCTTTTGAATTTGAGGAAAATTTAAAGAATTGCTATGAGATGATGCCTAAAGGCTTTCAGTCCAGAGAAAGAGAGAAATGTCATTTAAGCCATCAGGGAAAGAAGCTCAAGTACTGTGATTCTCAGCTCTAAGAAAGTCTGTAAAAAGGCCAGAATTTCAAGATTTGTATCTGAAACATGAATTTTGCTTCTCTATTCCCACTCATCTCTTGGTATTTGGTATGTTTTCATAGATTACTTTAAAAAAAAAGGATCTTATTTGCAAACTATCTGTGTCTGTTTCATGTTACCCTTGCCAGAAGGTGTCTCACTTGCATGATCATTGCAAGGACCTGTAGGATCATTTACACTCCATGAGCTATCTTTAAGTGCACTACATATTGCTAGCTTGGTTTAAGATGATGTATTGCAGCCAGCCAGCAAGATAATTAAGAGAATATATTAAGGTAACTTGGGTGTTGTGAGCAAGGCTTGAATAAGCGCAGCACATCTCACAAATTCTATTTAGCAGCAGAAATACTTTTTCCAATGTAGATTGTGTCAAAAAGAGACAAAACCAATAAGGAAAAGTGAAAAAGAAGGAGGATTAAAGGAAAAACTGACCAGTGAAGGGAGAGGACGTATTTGGGTACTGCAGGGATTGGAGGAGATGGGAGAAGATGGGAGTTTGTGTGTGAGGAAGGAACAGAGCAGTGGGATAATGAGGTCTGGATGGGAGAGGCGATGGCAGAGGAAGGAGGGATGTGGAGGGATCTCTGATTAGAGGAGAAGGTGTGACCAGGAAAAGGGATTAAGTGTCCCAGGCCAACAGCTCTGCCAGTTGTCACATCCTTCTGGTCCCGTATCCAGCTGGATCCCATCCACAGGAGATGTTCTCTCTGGGCTGAGTCCTGCCCTGGCAGGAGGCTCTGCAGCTCCAATTACAGAGTAATTAGCTCACTTGAGAACAGGAGATGTGATGGAATAAGGGAGAGAGGAAAGCATAGCTAAGAGGTTGCTTTAATGAATTTGGCTTTCCTCTTTGAAAGTTTGAAGACACGAAAGATGTTTTCAAGGAAGCAGGAAAGCTTGCTTAAGGAATGGATTATTCAGAGCTTAAAAAGTGTTGATTGCAAATTGCTCTGTGTATGCTTTAGGTTGTTAAGTGTAAAGAGCTCTTAATAACTAAGCTAATAAACTCCTTGGTGTTTCACCTTGATATTTTTATTTATGTCTTCAAAAATATG